GGCGGCCGCCCCGCAGCAAGCGGGCCGCGCCGTGGGGCCACCGCGGCGGGGGCGCGCCCTGGGCCACCGGCCTGCCAGCAGTCAGGCCAACCTGGCGGCGGACCACGTGACGTCGGGCGCCGCCAGGGCGCTGGAGCAGCTGGCCGCGGCCATGCCCGACCTGGCGAGCGACGATCGCCAGGCAGCCCGATCGTCGCTGGCGGACGCGATCGCCCTCGTCGAGCACTGGCACCGCGACCGTCAGCAGGGTCGTCGGCGCCAAGCGTCAGCGGACGCTTCTGGACAGGTCCAAGTCCCGCCTTCGCAAATACCTCGAGGAGGCCATGGGGGCGCATGGGGGCGGGCTGACCTTGCTGGAGAAGCGGGCGGTGACAAGGCCCACGCGTGCACACGGAGTGCCGGCTGGAGGTGAATCGGCTCAAGCAGTGCGTCGAGTCGAGGGGGAAGAGCGTCGGCCGCGTCTGGGGCGCCGAGCTGGACGGCCTTTTCGCCGAGTGCTTCGAGATGACTTTCTTCGCTGGCGTGGAGGCCTCGCGTGGGGCCAAGACGCTGGCCAGCCGGCTGCACTTGCACCCGAGCTTCAACCGCCTGGGCTCGAGGCGTCTCCCGCGAGCCTGGCGAGCGCTTCGCGGCTGGTGCAAGTTGTGCCTCGGCCGCTCGCGGAAGCCCGAGGCGCTGGGGGTGTGGTTCGGGCTGATGAACGCCCCGGTGACTGCGGGGCGCCGCGACGTGGCCCTGTTCGTGCTGATCATGCTGGGCACCTATCTGAGGCCCGGACAGCTGCTCAGCGTTCGCGGTTCGGGGCTGGCGCCTCCGACCCATGGGGTGGCGGCTCGCTGGTCGCTGCTGGTGCATCCCGAGGAGCTGGCCGGCAGGAGCAAGATCGGCGATGCGAATGTGTCCACCCTCCTGGACTCGAGCTGGGCGAAATGGATCGGCCCCGCAATGGGGGGGCTGAAGGAGGCGGCTGGGGGCGGCCCGCGTTGGACGTTCGACTGCGGCGACCTGCTGAGGTTCTTGTGGCGCGCGGCGCGGGGCATCGGGGTGCCCAAGTTGGCGCCCTACCTGGCTCGCCACTCCGGCCCGTCCATCGACGCGGCCAGGCAGCTGGGGGCGCTGGCCGATATGAAGAGGAGAGGGCAGTGGCGAGCGGACAAGAGCGTCCTGCGGTACGAGCGGCGCGCGCGCCTCGCCAGCGGCGACCGCGAGCGCCCGATCGAGGCCCAGAGGTGCGCCACCGAGTGCGAGCGACGCGCCGAGGCGGTCATCTTCCACGGACTGGTCGTCCCGCTGCCGCTCGTGAGCGTCCGCGCGTGAGGGGCGTCTACTTTGCAGACGCCTCCGCCAGCAAGGGGGGCGTCGCCCGCGCCGTCAGGAGGCGTGGCTTCCAAGCGAGAGCGCGGGAGAAGTTGCGCGGCGAGCATGGGGGCCTGGCGCGCAGAAAAATGTTGCGCCGCCTCCTATCGGACATCCAGTCAGGGAGATGCCGAAGCGTCATGCTGGCGCCGCCCTGCGCGTCCTTCTCGATTGCCAAGATGCGTTCAGCCCCGATCAGGAACCAAACCCGCCCTTGGGGCTTCTCTCGCTCTGAAATGTCGGAAAAGGATTGGACTGAGCTCACTGTAGGTGACAAGTGTCTGCGCGTGGAGCTAAATATAATCGCAGCTTGCAATCTTTCGGGTACTCCCTGGGTACTTGAGAACCCGCACAGTAGCCGCATGTTCTAACCCCCTGAGTTCTTAGAACTCGCTCAGAAGTGTTTCGTCTCAACAAGTGTCTCCGATTTCTGCCAGTTCGGCACCGGGTGGCGGAAGCGAGCGCGCTTTTTGATTGGCCATCTCCACCCCGACGAGCTCACAAAACTGTCAAAGACTTGTGACGGGCGTGCCGGCATTTGCAGTCGGACCGGCAAACCCCACCTTCAGCTCGATGGGGGCCTCTCCAGAGGGGGTGAGATGGACCGCCGTAGCCCAGCTTTTCCACAGGCCTTGAACAGGGCCTTGGCAAGAACTCTCGTGTCCCGGGCCATGTGTGAGTTTTTCAAAGTTTGAGCGAACATGGTTTATGGAATGATGAGGGACTAAAGTGTGTTCGCACTTATCACAACTGCTGTCATATATATATACATACTTATATATATACAGTTCCCCCGAAGACTTTGTTATGTTCGCGAGAATATAGCCACAGTAAAAGAAATCTTACTGCTGGTGCAGTTCCCCGTCCCAGCTCTAATGCAGCATGGGAGTGCGGGCGCATGAATGATGCCAGGAACGCCTTTGTCGTTGCTCTGGTGGACCCCTCTTCCTTCGGTGCGCGAGCGCCTTGATAATCGCGCTTCGCTCCCTGGGGGTCTTCGCTCCGTCGTGCTTGCACTGTCTGGGAATGGTCGGTCTTGCCAGTCAGCTCTCGGTCGCTGCTCTTTTGGGCTCCCGCCGCCAGCCCAAGGCCTTTTAATTACTGTCACCTTGATCCGAATGCTCGAACTGCTCTGGGACTTTAAAGTGTGTTTGCACTTCGCAGCTGCTGTCATACATATATATATACAGTTCCCGCGAAGACTTTGTTATGTTCACGAGACTATAGCCACAGTAAAATAATTCGTACTGCTGGCGCAGTTCCCCGCCTAGCTCTAAATCAGCACGACATTGATGATGCTGCTGGTGATGATTGGGATGATGATGACGATAATGATGCTGATGATGATGATGATGATGATGAAGATGCGGATGATCCTGATGATGCTGCTGGTGATGAAGATGATGATGAATGATGATGATGATGAGCAAAATGCTGATGCTGATGATACTGATGACGATGATGATAATGGCGACGACGATAATGATGATGCTGATGTTGCTGATGATGACTGTGAAAATGGTGTTGATGCTGATGATTGAGGTGATAATGATGATGGTGATGATGATGGTGATGATGATGTTTATGATGATGAGGGTGATGCTGATGATGATGATGATGATGATGATGATGATGATGACGTTGATTATGATGATGCTTATGAAGATGGTGACGATTCTGATGCTGATGGTGATGCTGATGATGTGGATGGCGTTGCTGATGATGCTGGTGCTGATGCCGACCATGCTGATTAGGATACCGATGAGGAATCTGATTACGATGCTTCTGCTGCTGCTTCCGATGCTGCTGCTGATGCTAATGATGATACTGATGACAAAGCTGCTGCTGATGATGATGATGTCAATGATAATGATGACCATGCTGGTGCTGCTGATGATGATGCTGATGATGATGCTGATGCTGGTGACAATGATGATGCTGATGATGATAATGGTACTGCTAATGATGATGACGATGATGATGATGATGATGGTGATGATGATGATGGTGATGATGATGCGGCTGATGATGATGCTGCTGATGATGATGCTGATGATGATGATGATGCTGATGATGATGCTGATGATGATGATGCTGATGCTGATGCTGATGCTGATGCTGATGCTGATGCTGATGCTGATGATGATGATGATGATGATGATGATCGATGATGATGATGATGGATGATGGATGATGATGATGATGATTGATGATGATGATGATGATGATGATGATGATAGTGTGTGAGCGAGGGGAGTGGGGGCGAAGACGAAGACGGGAGGGCGGGGAGGACGAGGAGGAGGAGGGTGGGGCTGGAGGAGGGGGGGTGGAAGAGGAGCTGGAGGAGGAGGAGGAGGAGCAGGAGCAGGAGGAGGAGGAGGAGGAGGAGGAGGAGGAGGAGGAGGAGGAGGAGGAGGAGGAGGAGGAGGGGGAGGCGGTCCAGTGCCAATCCAAGACGCAGCGACGATGTTGCAATACACATCCGCACTCCAAGAGCCCCGTTGAAGGACAACCGTGTGGAAATCTTCAACCGTGCCAAATCACCATTCCTGGGACGTCAACGCCGCGAATGAACGTTACGTTTGCGACCTGACGATTTTAAATTGTGCCAGAACACCATTTCTGAGACGTCAGCGCCGCGAATCAACGTGACTGCCGCGACCTGACAGCCCTAAATCGTGCCCGAGCACCGTTCCCGAGACGCCGGCCATAAGACTCCCTGACGTTCCTGCAAAAGTGTGCAACGAATGTGCGCGGCGCGACGGCGAGAACCGCACCCTGAAAACGGGCCGCCCTCCACCTGCCAAGCTTATGTAAGCTTCTAGGGCGATGGTGCGCGGCGGTCGGGCGAGAGCCACATGTTGGAAACCGCCCACCACCAATCCGTGAGACTCCTACAACACGTTCTACACGAATGTGCGCGACGCCAGTGCGAGAGCTATACTGGAAACGACCCGCCCTCCATCCGTGAGGCTGTGTCGAGTTTCGAATTTCACGATCCTTCATGGTGAGGAGGTCTCAGGCGGAACGCCTGGCCCGCCCTATCGACCCGTCTCGGGGTGCGGCAGGGAGGAGTTCCTTATAAGGGGGAGGAGGAGGAGGAAGAGGAGGAGGAGGAGGAGGAAGGAGGAGGAGGAGGGAGGAGGCGGAGGCGGAGGCGGAGGCGGAGGCGGAGGAGGAGGAGGAGGCGGAGGCGGAGGCGGAGGAGGAGGAGGAGGAGGATGAGGAGGGGGAAGACAAAGAACAATAGTAATAATAAGGATAATAAGGAGGAGGATCATACTACTAATAAGAAGAATAATAATGCGAATACTAATAAGGAGAAGAAGATGAAAACGAATAATACGAATAATATTAATTATACGAAACGGATAATAATACAAATGCGAATAATACGAATAATAACAGTACTAATAGTAAGACTACTCATAATCTTTAAAGGAGGAGGCGGAGGAGGAGGAGGATGAGGAGGAGGAGGGGGAGGAGGAGGATGAGGGGGAGGAGGATGAGGAGGAGGAGGACGAGGAGGAGGAGGACGAGGAGGAGGAGGAGGACGAGGAGGAGGAGTAGTTGGAGGTGGGGAAGGAGGAGGAAGAGGGTTTCGACGAGGACCTAGAGAAAGACGATGTGCACGAATCGGGCGACGAGGAGGGCGAGGCCGAGGACGAGGGCGAGGACGAGCCGCGAACCCTCGTCCTTTGTGGACCCACGGCCGCCGCTAGTCTCGGGGAGCTCTGCGTTCCGAGGGCCGCCTCGCTCGGACGCGCCGCGGCTGCGCGCTCGCTGCTGCACCTGCTGTAGATAGAATGCATGCGGGCCCCAGTCTCGCAGGCCTAGAGGTCAACACCAGCACCAACGTCGGCGGTGTGCCGCCACCGAGGGGCGAAGATCCCGATCTCGGTGATGGTTGTACACCTTAGGCGATGCTTAAGATAACTTAAGTTTTCGGCCAGCGTCTCGATTATTCTTAACGTTTCGATGTAAATCTTAAGATTTTAATAGACATGTTGGGTTTTTATTCAAGTTCTGAGACTATCAATTTCTTAACCCATGATTTCTTAAGCATTTCGCAGGGTGTACTACTCTGGCTCCTTGGGTGGCCGAACTGTCACCACAGACACCGGAGTCTGGGATCATATCCTCCCCCTGTGGAGGCAACCCCACTGCGCTGGTGTTGGTGTCCATCTCCGGGCCTCCACCAGTCCTCTGTGACCCGGCAGGCCCCGCTCGACCCGCCTGCGCCCCCCGCGGGGTCCAGCCCTCCTCGGGGAGCCGGGCTCTCCCAGCCGGCGCAGGCAACGCACGTGCCCCCCCAGAGATGGTGACCTTTTTCAGGAGGGAAAGAAACACAGACACAATTAATCGTCGACTCCCAGGAAAATATGGGAAAATATGGGAAGTGGGGGGGAAGACAGAAACCCAGAAAAGATGGGACAATATGGGGCATCTTTTTGTTTGTGTGTATTTATTTGTGTGTCCTGGGGCCCCTTTACTTTTGGGGTGCCGGGTTTCTGGCGCCCGCCACGCGGGCCCTCGCGTTGCGAGAGACCCGGGCCCCCGACGTCATGATTGACGAACGAGCAACACACACCCATACCCATAGGGGGAATGTTGGGAGGTTTGCCCACCGCCGAAAAGAAGCAGTGGTTGTGGTCGTTTCCCTGGTGCCAGGCGTACCGGAAACTACCACAACCACTGCTCTGTTTCTGCTGGCTGGAAGGCGGCAACACAAGGAAGGCAGTGGCTGTGGTCGTTTTCACATCCCCTATGTGGGGCCGCTGCCGCGCTTGCCACGATCGCGGCCCAAGGCAGGGCCCCCCAGACGTGACGAACGAACAACACACACCCATACCCACAGGGAGGTCGGAGGGAGAAGGACTGGCTATGGGTATGGGGGCGGGTTGTCGGATCCTGGGGGGTGCTTCCTTTCGAGCGGGGGCCCCCATCCGACAGCACGCACCCATAGCCCCCTCCGTCCCACCTATGGGTATGGGTGCGTGTTGTTCGTTCGTCAGTGACCAGTTCATTCGTAACGTCGACCCCCGGAGGTCTCGACCCATCCCCCGGGGACCGACTTTTCATCCTGAGTCGTTCTGTTGACGGTCCTGAGGCCCGGTAGAGGGCCCCCAGGGGCCAAAAGTGGAGAAAAACATGTTTGGCTTGTTTTTTTTGCAGGACACGAGGGGTCTGGTATTCTGTCCCCCCCGGGTCGCGTGGTGAATCGGGCTGGGCCTGTCTGGCGGCCGCACAGACAAGGGTGCGAGCAAGACTTGTTCCTGTACCACTGCAGCTTGGAGTTCCAGGCTTCCATCCCCAGACACCCGAGGCGCACTGGGTATAGATAACAAGAACCTGCCCTCCAGAGGCTAGATTTTTTTCCCATGTCCAGTGCGCCTTGGTCTTGTGGCGCTCCCTTCAAGAATCACCGAGCGCGTTCCACTGCTCGCAAAGTGGCCACTCGCAATCGTCCGAGAAACATGTTTGCCCGGTAGCAAATCATGGGAGCCTGGTATACTTTTTGGATTTTGTCTTTAGCGTCGATTAGCGTCGAATAGCGTCTGGGAGTGGATGAGATAGCGCCGGTTTAGCGTCGATTAGCGTCGATTTAGCATCGACTAGCGTCGATTCGCACGAGCCGACAAGATGGTACTGGAGGCTCCCATGGGTTACCACCGAATATCTGCCTTAACGTAATGGTTCGTGAATCCCCCGCGGCGAACCCATGCCATCTGGGAGTAGTTTCTTTGCGAGTACCCGTCGGTCGTTGAAAGTACGTATTTTTGGCATTCCAGATCCCAATATACTTCAAGCGTTAAGTCGGGCATGTCCCTAAAGAATAGAGCCGACAAGATGGTACTGGAGGCTCCCATGGGTTACCACCGAATATCTGCCTTGACGTAATGGTTCGTGAATCCCCCGCGGCGAACCCAGGCCATCTGGGAGTAGTTACTTTGCGAGTACCCGTCGGTCGTTGAAAGTACGTATTTTTGGCATTCCAGATCCCAATATACTTCAAGCGTTAAATCGGGCATGTCCCTAAGGAATAGTCAGGTGACGATTTGGTGCTCGTTTGAGCATTTTTGATTATGTGTGATTTTTGTTCGTCCCAAATCCGCCTGTAGCAGGACATGCACGGCCTTAGATTGGTTACTTTGCGAGTACCCGTCGGTCGTTGAAAGTTTGCTTTTTTGGACTCCCAGATCCAAATATACTTCAAGCGCCTTCCTACTTCAAGAGCCGCTGTGCTTCTGCTGTGTCTTGTTAGTCTCTGGGAGCGCCCTGCACCCAACCTGCTTGATGCGCCATCCTACTTCGTGTCCTTACCTGTTTCTTCTGGCCGGCGCGTGGCGGAACGCGCTTCGCCAAAGAAGGGCCAAGACGCCCTGGCTATGTCAAGCAGTGGCGAAGCGTCCTGGCCCGCCTCTAGGCCAACTAAACAATGCTCGAATAACCTCTTTTTTACGGTTTCCGCGAAACGTTTCTAGACCCGAGATATATGTCGCCGCGCCGTTTGTTCCGAGGTGTAGCCGTACTTCTTGGGGGGGGCGCCGCGGCCACCAGGGCAAGCGCCGCCTCGGGCGCGGTGGGCTCGCCGTGGGGTTTGCCGCGGTGCTGGCTGCGTCTCCTTGGGGCGCGGGGCGTTGCGTTCGCCGTGGGTTTGCTGTGGTGCCGGCGCCGTCCACTCGGGCGCGTCGCGAGCTATATACAGAAAATGAGAGAGAGGTCGGCTCGTGTAGCGATCCTAGTTTGCCTGCCGATCTTCTGTTTCACGTTGCCGTGACAGTCGCGCCGTAGTGAGATTCAATATTCGCGCGCTCCGCAGCTCCTCTCTTCCCGGGGGAATATCTGTATCTATATACATAATATATGTATGTATGTGTGTAGTGTATATATATATATATATTATATTTGTGGGTATGTGCATATATCTATATATATATATACACGTATATCTACGCATATATATATATATATATATATATATGACACAATATATATTGTAGTGGCCTCCGGCCAGTGCCGCCGATCCGGGACGCTTCCGTTGCTGCCGGAAACGCACGATGGCGGTCATGACCGGCGACGACGGCGAGCGGTGAGGATGATGATGAGGAGTGGGAATGGAGGCAACGGAGTATGATGGTGAGGAGGAGGAGGAGGATCATGATGAGGTGGAGGGGGGTGGGGGGGGAGGGGTAGGAGTATCAGGATGCTGAGGATGAGGAGGAGCAGGAGGAAACGGGAACTGGAAGAGGGGGAGGGGGCGGTCTCTGCTGGGAACCATGGTGTTTTGGGGGTTTCTGGGGCCTTCGCTTGTGCGATCGTGGATGTGAAGGACACCGAAGACGGGAGAATATGTGAAAGCATGGAGGAACCTTTTGTGTTGCAGCGCTTGTGCTCAGAGGCAGCTTGGAGGCCTCTAGAAAGCGTCGTGGATGCATTTTTGGAGAGTCTTGGGGGCCTTTAGGGGGCTTCAGGGGGCCTCTTCGGGGCGAATTGGAAACGTCTTGGGGCCTCTTCGGGCCTCCCGGGGGCCTGCTGGGGGCCTGCTGGGGGCTTCTTGGGCCGTCTTCGGCACTTCTTCCGCCGTCTTGGCGCCCTCTCAGGCGCTTGGGCCCGTCCTGGGGCCCTCTTGGGCCTTTCCGGGGTTTTTTTGGGCCATTTCGGGCCCTTCCTGGGCCGCCTTGGAGCCTCTTGGCGGCTTCTTGGGCCGTTTTGGGACTCCCTTGGGGCGTCTGCGACGCTCTGAAGGCCCAAGAGGCGAATGTGCTAAAATTGTAAGTTTCCCTTCGGGAGTGGGACACGTGTTGCTTCTTTGGGCCTTCTTTGGGAGGCCTTTTCAGGGCTGCTGAAGGCATCTTGGAGGCTTCTGGAGCCGTCATGGGGGCGATCGTTCGGCGACTCGGGGCCCTCTTGGCCCATGTTGGGGCCCCCCTGGGCGAGGGGGCCGTCCCGGAGGGTGCTGGAGCTCCGATTCCGCGACGGGAATTTGGTCGAACCCTCCCCCCTCCCCCTACCCCCAGCAAGGCCGCCCCGGCACGTAGAGCTGAAGCTTCGGAATAGAGGCTCTGGCTGTTCAGAGGGTGTTTGAAACTCACACGCCGTATCGGCGGATGTATATATATATATGTGTATGTATGTATATATATATAAATGGCACCCATTCTTCGTCCTTTTTCTTTCCACGTTGTCTTTCGCATCCCTTCCTCCGCTCCCCTTTTTGTTCTCTGTCCCGTTGTCCTCCGTCCTCCTTGCCGTCCTCTCTCTCTCTCGCTTGCCACTTCTCCCCATGGGGGCTGCGGGCGCCTTTTCGTCGCCTCCGCGCAGGGGAGACCAACGCTTGAAGGGGCGCCATCCTCCACAGGAAGACCAAGGCTTGCAGGGACCTTCCCCCAGACACGCCAGTGCCCCCACACCCTATGATTTAATATGGATTTCTCTCACACAGGAGGAGGAGGGGGAGGAGGATCTGGGGGGAGACAAATATGGAGGGGGACAGCGATATATATACATATATATATATATATATATATATAGAGAGAGAGAGAGAGAGAGAAGAGAGAGAGAGAGAGAGAGAGAGAGAGAGAGAGAGAGAGAGAGAGAGAGAGAGAGAGAGAGAGAGAGAGAGAGAGAGAGAGAGAGAGAG